ACTACAATGTATTATTACATTGCATTTTATGAATGATAGTCAGAATTGCTTTACATTAGTACATGTATTTTGTTATGATTTTGTTCGTTTTTTATTGCAGATTTTTCTAAGGAGGAGAAAAGCAGTATATGTTGAAAATTTTGTTTGTTATTCTTACATTTAGTATATCCTAATCATACTGACCACATAGAAGAACATGAAAATTTCTAGGTATTGCACTTTAAGCTTTTGTTTCACAACAACAACAACAACAGATTAAGGTTTCAGTTACTTTAATCAAGTTTTACATAGAAGGTGTTTTCATGAGCTGCTTTGCCCCCTGTTATCCTGAAAAAAAATTAATATGCATTTAATGTCAACCATTTGTCTTGTGGTTGTTGCCTACACAAATCATTGAGAGCAGTTATCTAGTTCACCATTATTACAATCATAACATTACTAAGTTAACCACACTCATTCAGTTGAATCTTGAATTCTTTACTTAGTGGTACCCTTTACACTCTGATATTCAGGGGTGACATATATTTGTGCAATATTTTCTTTGTTCAAGACGAATTTGACAGAAAATTCGTGTTTTGAGACAATCCCCCATTCGTATGTCACGTGATCCGCTAATGGCTGATTTGACCCGTTATTGGCATGTTTACTAGATGTTTGAAAAAGGTAAATGCACCATGATGCATTCAGTATACAAAGTCACAAGAAGTATACAGTAAAAGAGGAATAAAAATACTTCAAATCTACATACATTTATTTCAAAATTTAAAAATCATTCGTTCGTAAACACTAAAAGTTTCACTAGTGATCCGTTATTGGCCAACTCACTGTACATGTAATAAATGGTAATATCTTTAAAGATTCATATCATAAAATAGCAGATTTACCTCATCGAAGTATACTTTTATGCAAGACTGCTAATGCATCTTATTTGTACAGTTTCGAACCTGTTACATCCCTCGATCTATGGACTCTGGTTTTAAATGCATGTTCATTAACACTCTAAATTGATTTTCCACTAATCACCAAAGTATGTTTACTTTTTCACCATGTATGGTGCAGGATGATTATACAATATTAGGGAAATATGTGAGCATTCTTTAAAAAAAAGTTCCATTCCTTACTATTTCCACACTGAAAAATACGGGAGGTAAAAGTTATATATGTGTCTGAGAGATTTTAGGTGTAAAGTCTTACTTGGCTAGAACGTTATTCATTAGAAAAATGATGTTTTAACATTGCAAAATAATAATAAAATTGTTCATAACAAACATTCCCTAAGGTTTTCAAATATAAGGGGTATAACTGTGTCAGTTAGAAGCAATATTCAGAATGTTCATAATCCCGCCTGAATATTTGAAACGCCCCGCTAGATTTATCACCACAAGACAAAAGTTCTTTCTGTCCCGTTAAATTGATTGATTATCAATATCCCAATATCCCGGACGTTAAAAATATTCATCAATGTTAATAAAAATTTTTTTGTTGGAAAAACAAGTGTCAGTAGCAATGAAGATTTCAAATGAGAACACTCATGTTAACCTATATCTGTATGAAAACATATGTTGTCCCTCTATACAGGTCCCATTGTTTATAAATGTTTGCTTTAGAAAAAAAATAAATTGGCAGTCATTACATTTCGACAGCAGTAAGATCGCAGGAAAAAGTGACGAACGAAAAAATAAACCAAATCAAATAGATAATTGGTTTACCAATACGGCAAAATGTTACACACTCAGCTCAAGCAGATTTCTACATTGATATATAGAAATAAGTGCGATATTAAAAAATAATACGCATCTGCATGTAGATATATCATGGAACCATCATAGAATAATATATATGCCTTTTTCTAAGAATATGGTCCAAAAAGAATGAGTTTTCGTTGTTAATATCCTAATCTATATCCACATAAGTGAAAATAACTTGTTACTGCTTTATGATATTTGTAGCACTATTACTTGTTTGTTTTCAATCAAAGTCATCTCTCTTGGATGTTAATTTTGATGGATTTCCTTTACTTGGTATTTAATCAAAGGCAGCATGTGACTATGTATTCATAGAAGCAATTTGATAGTCAGCCAGCCAATTTGCATAAATGTAAAACAAAACTTCGAAAGGTCCAGGTTCTATTTAGTTCCATCAAAGTCATTTTGAAGATGGGTACACAAGTGTCTCTTATTCTGAGGGGTTAAGGGAAAAATGTTTATCAAGCAGACGTTCACGACTGATGGCAGACAACGAATATCAGACAGACGTCATCTTGGTCAGACGATATAAGAACTTCTCGAAGCGGTGCTAGAGGGCCGTTCTAACTATCCGATAGATAAACACATGTCTTGTTTAGATATTAAGATCTTGTTAAAGTGATGCCATCAATTTTGTCATAAAATGTTTATTTTATATTCATTCCATATTGGAATAATATCATTTTCTATATGCTATTCGCTATCCGTTTTTTCTAGTTTTTACAAGTCGAAATTACAATGACATTTGACTGGCTGTTGACAATCATAATTATAATATTATGCCAGTAGCATTTTAAAACTGGACATTTAAATCATAGTATTATTGAAGTACACTTTATTTTCCTCTGGATTTTCAAAAATATCTGTGTAACAACATCCGCTGGTTTTGTGCCAAATATCAGATTTAAATGTTGATTCAACTTGATTGTGCTTTGCAGGTATTGTATGAAGTTGACTTCTTAATTCACTTTTGGACTATATTCTACATTCCCAGCGAGCTAAATTCTTTTGTCGTGTATCATTCAATATAATATCACCTCACTCATTTTTTTCTTCAGGCAGTGTTTATTTCGACCATATTTCAAATCATTATCATTACTGGACATAACTTTATCACCAGGAAGTATAGTCCAGGTTTTAACAATTCTATTTGTGAGGGGAATTTCATTTTGGTGATCTGTAGGTTTTTTTTATCCAGCTTTACGAACGGTTTCCATCATTTGTTTAATCTTCTTTTAAATGTGAAATAAATCATGTTTATGTTTCCATAAATTGTAACATACTGTTTCAAAAGTGTATGTGTCTTATTCATATCAACAAAATTCTTTTTAGCAGAATTATATGAGAGTTATTTGAAAAGTCAAATTTAAACTTCATAATTTGTAAGATATAAATGAAGAAAAGCAAAGTGCACAAGAATGATAATCTTATTTTTCTCTCTATTTTTTACACTAGTGATATGAGCTTGTCTTCAATAGTTTGGTGTATTCCATTTCAGTAACGACTTTGTCCAGCACAATGTATCATCATGTTTTGGTATATGCACATTATTTCAAGAGCATTGAATGACAACTGTTTCTGTAATGAACAAGATATTTATAAACTTTAACTGTGCAAGTGTGAAACCATATCAGTATTTATATTCAATTCAAACTACGGCGCTGGAGTGTAATAAAGCCATTTAATAAAAACGATATTACACAACTGTAATAACACTTTGACGTGACGTAATTTGATTGAACAAGCATAGCGTTACAGTATGATAAATAGAATATTTTCTTTTATGCTTTTGAGTGGATTACTGATTTATCCGTGTAAATTATATTTGATAATTTCACAGTGAAAATTATAAAAATATAATTTCACAATTTGTCATTATGGTACTACTTTTTGAAGATTTTTCCCATGTGGTACCTCAGTTTTATAATAAAAATTCCATGTTTTCCAAATTTCCGATGGCTTCTAGAATGTTATCTCGTATGTTAACAATTATTTATAGTCTGTAACAATCCTCAAATAAGTTTTCTTTCTTATAAATGTATGTAATATTAACAAGTCCAAATGAAATCCCTCTGAATCAAACACATTATATTTGGTCCCTTACATTTCAAAGGCTAGTCTAACATAAACTTACGCGAAAAATAACGGAAATAAGCTACTCGGCATGGTGTAACTTTTTATTTTTCTGAAACTGTTTGTTTTTTATTATCAAAATAAGCGATCATCAATGTTATGTATAAAATAGACAATATTATCACCATTACCATTTATTCTTGGCCTTATTTTCTTGCTTCATGTATTTATAAGAAATACGTCTAATATTGAGGGCTACCACAGCGGAAAACAGATTTGATATTCAAGCTAATATGGAGGAAATATCATTTTTAAACTCGTATTTAAGCATAAAAAATTCTTTCTTTTTTTTGTTGTAAGATGTTATTTTATTTCATCTCGTGAACTTAAAAAAATAATATGCTTCATTCGTGACTATACTGTGTTTGAAGCTCACCCGATGAAATAAAATTTCATCTTACACCATGCTCTATACAGTATAGTCATGTAGATTCATTACTAAAGTATTTACTTGTTGAATGCTCACCGGAAGCTTGTATATATAGTATGATTTCATTCAACTCGTTCAATGAATTTAGCATTAAACCTACAATCATTCAATGCCCTCCTATTTATATGTAAATACGTAATGTAATAATTTTTCATTTTTCTTTATATATATATTTATGTATAAAGATAATTTCATATATAGAGAATATTGAATGATTGTAGATGTAATACTTAATCAGTTGAACCAGTTGAATAAAATCATACAATTCGAGCCTTTGTAGAGCACGATATGTTTTTTACAACGAAGTTGATAAGTTGAGTATTAATCTACACGAACATAATATTCTATTTAGTTTAAACGATTTTGTTTTAGTTCTACTGTGTTAGAATCTAAGCTTATTGAAGCACTCTCGAATCTGTCCCTGGGGCCAACCGGAACTAAGCGAGGAGTGTAAAGTTTCTTGCTCAAGGAAACCAAATAGCTTTAATGAGATCGATACAAAAATATTGACTATTAGGTGTGATTGTCATTAAATACCGGTATTCCCAGTTTATGAAAAATTTTCCATGCAAAAATCTGACTAAAAAGCGTCTTACGTAAGAATAACTTCGTTTTGTACAATTTATCGAGGGTTTTTCCGAAAAGTTTTATTATAAGATGAACGTTATGACAGACTGCCGCTCATTTACGAAGAACCTTTGATTTGTCAGTATTTTATTAACGATATCAGTAGGTAGATAAATAAAGGTATGTGCATTTCTTTCTTTCTTTCCTTCTTTCTTTCCTAAAGTAGGATATTTATTAATGACAGATAAATAAGGCTAAATGCATAAAACACGACAACATGATCATGATAGACAAAACATGTGTTTAAAGATTGAAGCGATTTGGACACTTAAGACAATGTGACAATGTTTTATCATCAGGAGAGATGGATGTGTTTAGCAGCAGTTGGATGCGTGTTTGATTTGTAGTAATATGTAATTTTTTGTCTTAGATTATTTATCTGGAATGTATTCACAGCGAATTCATTTGTGAAGTAATAAATGTACATTTCAAAACAAAATGATGTTTAAGAATATGACTTTTTCATTTAGTTGGGCGTGTAGGGGTGGATCTGGGCTTGTTAATAATTATTTGTTTATTTATAAAAGTTTCATCCTTTTCTGAAACAATGTATTATTTGCTATCAAATTTCACCCATATAGTAGAAAATATGAACATGTCAGTCTAAAAGTATATACCGATTGTTTAACTTTAATCGACCTTGTCCAGGAGGTTAAACCTGTATAATGTGCATGTCATAAGCATCACATGTCAAGGTAATGATGATTCTATCCAACCTGACTGATAGTGAGAAGAGTTGTGTATTAAAATATTTACCGTGTACATTTACCTTGGCCTTAGAGGGAGCGACCTGGATAATGCGATCTATAGAAAGTGACATAATAAAGATCATTTGAGCCAAACAATTTTAAAACTTTCCCAATAGTCAATCAGTTATGAAGCGGACACAAAATATGGACGTTTTAACATTAATAATTTTACTTGTGACATTGACCTTGAGTATAGCGACCTTGTTGTTGTGACATTGACCTTGAGTATAGCGACCTTGTTGTTGTGACATTGACCTTGAGTATAGCGACTTTGTTGTTGTGACATTGACCTTGAGTATAGCGACCTTGTTGTGACATTGACCTTGAGTATAGCGACCTTGTTGTTGTGACATTGACCTTGAGTATAGCGACCTTGTTGTTGTGACATTGACCTTGAGTATAGCGACCTTGTTGTTGTGACATTGACCTTGAATATAGCGACCTTGTTGTTGTGTTCTGTCATAATGATGATCATTCGTGCTAAATTATTTTAGAAACTTCTAACTAGTCAATAAGTTATGGAGCCAATTTAAAATGCGGACTTCTAAATATTTGACACCAAATACCGTCCGGTTAGCTAGCGTTCTACTGTGAATCGGGCGATCCCTGTTCGATTCCCGGAAGGTGCTGGTCACATTTTTTGTGATTGATCATGAAATCCTGTTTACGGTCATTCACAATTTGTTTCGTCTTCATTGTGATTCGGATTTCTCGAGAAAGCTTTCAGCCATGCAATCAAATAGTCCCTTACAGATAGGCATTAGACGAAGTATCAAAATATTGTTGTCCTCGGAAGTAAAAGAAATTCTTGATTTTTTAAAGAAAAAAAGTAATGTTTGAATTAATCTGAAACATACAAACCGGAAATAATTGACTCAATTTTAATGGGCAAAACTATTTTGCGAATTTAGTTGCCGGCTATATGGACAACGCCATGTTTGTTCTCGAAATCGTGAAAATAACACTTTACTGAGTATAAGTTAGAAACTGAATCGATTTCAAAATGATAATTGGCTTTTTGAAGAGTCACGAGAATGTGACAACCTATTGGTGGTTGTCAGATCCTAATGCATAGCGTTATCTAGAGCTGATTTGCCTAAACTGATAAACTTGATATCAAAAGATAGACGCATGCTTTTCTATTTATCGTGTTACACATAAAAAATGTCAAAATTATAAAATAATCTCATTTTAAATGACGATTTTTGTAGCAAGGAGCATTTTTGTTCAACGAAATATTTCCTCCGACACTTAAACTTAGAATGAACTTGCCATTTTTTCTCTCGACCCGAAATAATTTCTTATGATAGAATGTAATAGAATAAGATTCTTACTTTTAAACATAGATCTAAAAATATCCCTATGAATCACATAAACTTTACTGCACTTCATCCCTTCAAAAGTTCACAATAATTTTAGTTTCAGTCAAAGAATTGTCAAATCGGCAATTAATGACACGCTTCACCTTAACATGCGTCTTATTTTCAAAATGAAACGATTTGCTAAGTTTTTAAACATAATCTAGTGTAAACAAGTAAACACATAAGTTCCCCAAGAAAATCGTCTAGCCTGTTTATAAATTATATGACGTGAACATCGATGATGTTATTTGCGAAATAAATTATGACATCACTTCATTAATTTAGTACTTAACTTTTTGCTATCTTATTCGTTTATCATTGAAAACGAAATAATGATAATTGATATTGCATTTTTATTCCAGACTTACAAAGGTATGTGATGAAATTGTAGAATTCAAAGGCTGGTAGGTAAAATGAAAATATAAGCTATTGAAAAAAAGTCCGTTGCAATGGGCAACTTGATATCATCAAAAATCATCAAAAATAATTAACAGACACGTGTTTTCGGGCAGTTGCTAATGCAGTTGCAGGAAAAATGTTTGTTGGCCTCCCGATCGGTCATTATAATATAAGAGACTTCGTTTGGATTTTTTTGTATTAATATCAATATCTTGCTATCGATCTAATTCAATGTAATTTATCTTTAAAAAAAGATTAAACTGTATTGATATTTTTAAAACAGTTCATTCTTAAATCAGACTACGAGGTGTCATGGTGTGTGTCAGTAAATCATTATCAATCTACTTGAGATAGTATTCTTTAAATACTCATTCTGCTTAAAAGCATGCTAGTGCGTATACAGCGTAAAAGTGATAAAATGAAATAAATACATTCTACAGTAGCTTTAGAGCAGTTGAAAGATTAAAGGCCCATTAAGGATCAGAAATGATACCATTCTTATTTCTCAAAAACGTTCTACTTTTGGTATCTTGTTACAGTTTCAAAAAATAATACTCATTTGCCATATAGATGAACTATCTTTGCTTCTTTAGACCTGTTGGCAATTGGGATAATTATAGTAAAATAGTGTTTTGTACATTTGTACATTGTACATTTTGCTACCTTAACGACACATAACTGCACATTCAGCGCTACTTTCTTCAGTTATTAATATCTTACATGCTCTAAATTAACAATTAAACATAATTTAACACATGTTTGACATTTCTAAAATATTTGATAAGTGTATATTTCTGAGACATAATGTGCCTTTAAGCAATTAATCTATATGATTCTAATTGTCTGTCCAATATTATGCATAAGGAAGTAAAAATAACATTCAAAAAGCTGTAAAAATAATTTATACATAGTTTCCAGCAAAATCCAGGCATAAACTTTATCAAACATATGAAGACATGCAAGCACGATAATGGCAAATTTGAAATAAATCTTAACAAAGAAATGGATGTTAATACATGTACTGACATTTTTGAAAGAAATCTTGCACAAGACATTGCTGGACAGTTAATACTTTAGTGTAACAAAATTTAAAGCTGTATAAATCTTCTTATTCATTTTGATATGTAAGCTTGCCATCACATTCTTGCTTGACCCTTTCAAATTAGTTACTAAACCATTTGTTAAAATTGCTACAATTCCGTTGCACCATAGACTGAGCTGTCCTTCGCGATATTGAAGATCAAAAGATAATGCGTGTACTATTCGCTCAATGATTATGGGTTTAAGATTTTATTTAAATGAATTTACAAATTTCACGAATCTTTATCAATAAAGTACATTTACTTGACACTTTACTTTTGACATACATGTATATTGGAATTTATAATGATTTTTCTTTCATGTTATCTTTATGAAAACCTTGGTAAACGCATATAAACTAAAATAAAAAAGTCATAATATACAAGTTACAGACATACGTACATTTCATTTCTTAAGTAATAATTTAAATTGATTGTTATAAAATTATAGAGAAATAATCTGAAATTTACAATCTACAATTTCTCACGCAATAATGCTTTGGGTTTTCCTTTGTTTTTTTTTATTTGCATTTGAAGGTTTACGATAAGCGATATGAATTAAAGTTTATCTCACTGAGGTTATAAAGGCTAAAACATAACATTTGAATTTCTTACATAAATGAGCTGGGGCACTTTAAACAGAAATAAATGCAAAGATAGTTAAGAAATATACTTTGAAATAAATTGAAAAAAGTATTTTTAAGGTTTTCTTTGCCCAATTTGAGTGAAAAGCGTTCAAACGCTTTTCATTTTGGGTCATTTATTTACAATTTGAATAATTATTCTGAAAAAAAAACGAAGTGTGCGAATGATCTGAAATATTGCACAAAGATTAGTGTTCTAAACCTACATCAAATGGTACATTTATCTGGACAAAATATTTTCAGTCCCATAATGTTAAAAAACCTCAGTGGAGTCCCTTTTAAGTGATTATTCAGACGATATTTTGAAATGTAAAGAAATTACCGTGACAAAAATTAAATGAGTTTATTTTTCGAAAAAAAGACAATACAGAAGATAATTTTTTGTTGTTGTTTCTACGTAGCTCACTGAAAAGACGTGCGGAAAACCAAATCAAGTGTGAATGGTTCATAGACATTTGATCAACAAAGGTTAAAATGTTAACTTACGGTAAGATTAAAAGAAATCTTTTTTCAGTTTTTATTCTAAATTTCATTATTTTCTGAAGATTATACAAACTTTCAACAAACACGTTAGACAACACCGACATATTAATTATGAAAGATTTATTAAAAGATTTTCAAAGTGATCTCTCCATACCTTCTTCTTGATGTCATATTATTCGTTGTCATTTATTTGTTTTGTTGTTGTTTCTACGTAGCTCACTGAAAAGTGACATGAATCTTTTCTTTTTAATATAATATAACTATATGCTTTTCTCTCGTCGATTCGTGACTCTTATTTGGAAAAATTGCACTTGCACAACAAATATCAGACATACATACAGTTCAATTAGTGCATTTGTTAAATAAATTCATTATCTTAAAGTTCAAAAACTTTAAATTACTTTTAAAAACAACCCCTCAAAGCATAGAGCATCTGATCAATGTCAACCATGACTGTCTTGCTCAGCTGGACGCTTACCCATCGATTCGTGAAATCCGATTCACCCTGTGACGTCATCAAAATATAGGTGCTCACACCACTAAATGTTCGCATGGTTATTTTCAGTCTGATCTGATCAATATTTATGTTTCAAAGTCTTAAGTTAATTCTTACAGCATAATGAATATTTTTTTGGCTTAATAGTAAGTGTGTTTGATTAATTAAAACATCAATATCGAATATTTTAAAGTAATTAGGTCATCAGCTGATTGTAGGGTAAGCTCATTTACACCTGTTCAATTACGCACTTTGATGGGATAGAACTGTCAAATCGAGTGTTATAAACTTGTGTGTTTTTCGGAGGGTGTATGCCCTTGCAAAGTATTATACCAGCATTATTTGGGTCACGAAGATGAAAAAGGGCACGAATGATGAAAAAGGCATATTAGTGTTTGAAATTATTTTTTTGTTCAATAGGATTGCAGTATTTCAAATGAATCGTAACACATTTACTTTGGTAAATCGGCAAACTGTGAATCAGTCTAGTTAATCGACTAGTTAAAACACTAAGCTGCACTCTGAATGAATATTTTCTTTATAGAAATACCTTACATGAATTTAAAATATAGTTTTTGTACATGTATAAATACCATGTAGCGAAATCGCTAGTCAATATAACGTAGCCATACTTTCAATGAATGTCACATAGCAATGCGATGTCTAATACATATATTCTTATTTAAATCCTGTGTCAGTAACGTACATACCATAAACACTATATTTAACGTAACAAAACCCTTTAAAGCATACCAGAAAGTGTATACTGGAAAATCAAAACAAAATGTTTTTGTAAATATAGGTTGTTTTTTTTTTTTCATTTTACAAAAAAATATATATAATGTACTTATTTTCCTTTCAGCAAATGTATTTGTTATCTCCATTTCGTTGCTGAATATACTTAATAAAGGTATGTAAATGACCAACCACATGATATGATTGTTTTTTATGTCATTATGTTATTTAAAAAACGCTTTTTGGAACTGTTCAAATTTTTTAGAGGCTTTCTTCTCACATCCAAAGTATCCGATCCAAACTGATTGCAAATTATCAAGCTAAGAATTGATACGTTCAAACAAGAAAATAATTCACTTTTTGTTTTACTTTCCTTCAAGTTCAGGCAACAGTCCCTCAGTATATCAACCCCTCAAGTCCAGAAACAAAAGTTGTGATCAAAGGTGCTGATACAAGCACATGTATCTACATTGTGGAAGCGATTGATAACGATGGGGATGTTCTCACTTATTCAAAAGTAAGTGGTACTTTAAAGTTTATGTTACATGTGTACACGCCTCCAGATTTTCTTTTTTTCAAAACATTTTAATCGTGACCTAATGCAATTACTATTTATAGTTCTAACATTGAGTGCCGAAAATCTTGTGTACATAGAAATACCCCTCACTACGCGAGTTAAGGGTAGACACATGGTGATTTGATAATTTCTATTTTATAAAACATACTAGTGATTTTTTATCATTTGTAGTTTCAATATCTAAAATACTGACGATATAGATATATTGTAATAATTGCTATATTTTTATAATGACAAGCTCATTTTGGTAAACAGGTTTTTACTAATAAGCAAACCAAAAAGTGTTTTCTGCATTTTCAAATCTTATTGTGTACGTCGTTGATTTCACACATCGCAAATGAATACATTCCAGCATAGTCAAACACCTAAACGCCCTAGTTTCACCTTTGACCCTGTATCACGAAAACTTTACCCTCCAGCAGGACTCGATGCTCAAACGACAACGTCCTTCGCAATAGAATTCAGGTATCATTTTTATAAATAGAACAAATGGGAACGAATTAAGTCATGGCTTAAGATAGTTTCTAATCTTTACAAAGTTTTTTCTTCCTTGATTAATCTAGCCAACATTTTGATAAGCAATTTACAGTATTAAAGTTTAATCAGAGTAATGAAATTATTAACGAATTATTATAGATTTCCTTCTGTATGTTAAGTTTACGCATTGAACCGATGATTATACATTGTATACTATGCAACACCCTTACTCTACAGCTTTTTTTATTGTTTTAGCGTAACAGATGGGAATTCTACTGTAATAAGCCCAGTTTTGACAATAAATATACAAGATGTCAACGGACATTTGCCAGGTACGAACCAAACTTCATACATCATGTCAATATTTGGCACAACCTTAAGTGGTAATATATCAAACATTGGGATAGGTAGTAGTATCTTAATTATGAGTGATCACGCATTAAGCATTCACTCGAAACATATCTTACTTTCGACGTAGGCTTATTAATCATCGTTTTAAATTTGATATCGAATACGTTCTAAACAAAGTCCATGAAAAGTAAAGCAATATGGGTAATTCTAACGCAAGGCATAACATTTGCTCTAAATATATTAACCGTTTCACTTTCACCAGGGGCAATAAATAACAGTAATTATATCTCACTGAAATTGCTAAAAACATCTATTGCCAAAGAAGTTAAAAGGTCAGCAAATATATATATTTTCAAAATTTGTTTAAAAGTATCCTTCTGATTTTATAGTTCATTTAAAATTTGGTCTATGTCAGTATCAAACTTAAATTGTCCATTTTCATTCCTTTATAAGCAAGTAATAGTTTGTTCAGGGTCCTGATAGCGCCAGTAATTTATGCGACAAAAAGCTTGTAAATAATTATGCGAGTGGTGACCCACATATCACTTTGAAAAATTGGACATCTTCTACATGTTCTAGGGACCTGATGCGTGTTCGTCAGTGCTCGCCCATTTCACAAAGTATCTTCAAAAATAAGTTCATATACATAATACGTGTACCTGTATTGACAATATGCCTTGCTGTAATTGCCGCATCGAGTTCAAATACATAGTATTTAAACAAACTCAAATATGACATTGTATTTCATTTTGCAGTTTTTGTTTGAAGGGTGACCATGTTCACACGTTCTGATAGCTTGTTCCCGTTTATACATTGCAACGAAGTTTTGATTTACATATGAGCAATAAATTAGCAAACACTTGTATTTGATTATTTATATTTTTCTCATACAACTATTTATGGGATGTGATCAAATGTAAGAGGTCCTTTAGCAATTTGTCGAAGTGTATTAACAATCATGTATAAAATGTTGCAGATGATCCATGTTTACCAAATCCTTGCGAGAATTCGGGAAATTGCTCAGTGGTTGGGACCTCTTACCAATGTCAATGTTCTTCTAATTATTCCGGGAAAAATTGCACGGACGAAGCGGAAACAGGTTATCAATAAAATTATATTTCTTAGGTTTGAAGTCATAAATATTCTCACATATGTTTTAAACACTTTGTTATAAAATATGAATTTTGCTTAAGCTGATGAGCTGATGTGCTGGAAGAAGGGGCGCGGACAGTGCCTTGCATTGACCATTACCGCCCACGTACAAACCGAGTTTGCAATTTTGTAAATTTTATTTGTTGTTTGTGGCGTCCTTAACGGTATCCATTTTCTGTACTTGAATTAGCTTAGAAAAAGTTAAAATTATAAATTGATATTTAGTTCAGGTTTTATTTGGTTAGTCATTATCAACCAAGAGAGCACACATTCCATTTGCAGTAGATAAGATGTCAGATTTGGACCGTTATATATTCAGACAATCCGGAACCAACTAATCGATTTTATAAAATTGTTTTTATTAAAAACAATGCAGATAGAAAATAAAAGTCTACCACATTGAGTTTAGAGCGAATACATGTAGTTGTATTAACAAAAGTCTGTCATAACCTAAACAACATAGCTATGGAAAATGCCTTTTTTTCATTTTATTTAACCATTTTATCATTGCTTAGCCACACAAGCGAAAGATGTCATGAAAAATAAAGCAAATGTTTTCCGTATATAAAAAGAGGATATAACCAGCACACAGGTTGTATAAAAGAAAGAAGAAACAAGCATATGTCTTAAAAGGTCGCACATGACGATCTTATTTTACCTTCTCTTTCACAGGTAAAGACAACTCAAATGGAGATATATATATTGTAATTGTTGTAATACTAGGAGTAGGCACTATTATGACCGCTCTTATATTGGTAATATACCGCGCAGTTCACAACTATCCTAGACGCATGTAAGTATTTTACATCAAATTTAAGTTTCTTTTGGTCACGGCAGTCTTGTGTCATTTTATTATATCCCCTCTTAAACAAAATTGAAAGTTTGATAGTGTGTTTATTTATTCACATTAATTCTACAGTTCAACTTTCAAATTACGATTTGTTTGATAGAACTAAATACATGTATATAAACTCAAAATGTAATAAAAGAAGAAAGAAAAAAGTTTGGAATTATTATGGTAACTTACTGCGAAGAAGTACATTATTTTCATTGTCTAGAGTTAACTAAGTATTGTAAAGGTTTGTAAAGATGGATCTTCACTATTGGCGTCCTAACTCTAACACTATTTTTGTCACTTATTCAAAGAGTTCTTCTTGATGATTTTCAGTATAAAAGAGTAAACCCGCCTTTATAAGTAGCTTTGTATCGGAATTATTAGACCTGTCTCTATTTTAAATTTTCTTAGACAATGTTGAAACATATTGAAAAGATAAAGATTTATTGCATAAATATCAGTCTGGGTGCAGTAGTCGTTTCTCTACATATATATTTTAGAAACGAAAATGATAAAAGTTATGTTACAGGTTTAGACTTACATAGAGTTTTTCATATAGTAGATCACTCTGTTCTTTCATCGAAACTTTGTATCTAAAAATACTGGACTTGTCTTACACAGGATGTGAAAGATGAAATTTCAATAAACAGTGTAGACATAAGAAAATCCTGTCTGATAAACATGAATATATCATGTGCACTGTTCAATTATATAAACTTGATGCAATCTTTTTGAGTCATGATTGTTTTGAAAATATAACTAAAACTGACGAACATGCTTTGTTTCTACATCCTATCTATATGTATAGTGTTTCTTTCTTTAATTTCAATTGTGGAAAAAGAAATTAAAATGATACTTAGAATGATTTTCTTTTCTCAATTCATTCCTACTGTGCATTTTTACATAAGCTTGATTTTACATTGTACTGCTCTACTCACCTAATAGGGAAGTTATGTTAGATGTTGGAGTCCCAGTACTTTATAAAACAATATTTTTGTTGTAACTTTTTTTTCTTTTAGGATATAGTCCAAACTCCAAATATATGTTTCTTATCATGTACTGAACCATATGAGATAATGATTAAAATTCCGGCACCAATAATTTCAGAATTATCTCCCATTGAACTTAAATTTTTGCTTAAAATTATTACTTTTGTATTTTAACATTTAATAACTTGAGGGATGTACTTGAAATACATGTTCCGCACCATATATCATATCAAAAATGGAAATGGTCATATCTGTAGCATTTATATTTACAGCATTATTTCCCCATTTTACTTAAAATTTTCATTGAAAATTGATATTTTTTAATGTAACTTTTTTTATTTCATGAGAGGTGTAATTCAAATAGTCCTACCCATCATTACCCAAAACATATGTAATAAGTAACATAACTCTAGATCCCATGTTTACAGAGATATCTTACCTTTCAACAGTAAATAAGTATGTAATATAACATAAAGGTAAGAAATACTACATACTTAACGACTAACGCAAATAAAAGCATATGTCGTGCCTTGAGGGTACCTATGTGTTAAAAAATGAGCGGGTACCTGTGATATAAAAATTCAAATAAAGAGAGGTAGCCTGTGCCGCTGCAAAACCGAAAGTAGGGTGTTTTTATAAATTTTACATTTATTTGTGACAATACACTGCCATTTGTCCGAAGATGATATGTAAATGAACATATTAAATATGTACGATGCATATATAATCAAGCCACAGGTTTATTGCACCCCGAAAAGTATGTCGAGGTGATGGGCGAGGCAAGACATGTCGATTTTTTGTAGCTTATTCTGAAGTTGCAGTACATGAAAAACGGGCACATGACGAATCAGCACATATATAAAACATTCTAGTGTTCCGTGGTATACATCTTTTCTACGTGTCATACCTCCTTTCCTTATTACAATGAAATTTTACTGGATTGTTAACCATCGCTGGTTTGTTTTTAGCAGAGAATGACCTGTGCATGTGCAAAGAGGGTATCGTTTGAGCAGATTCTGCAAAGAGGGTACCGATATGGAAATGCACCGTGAATGTGTAACGCTTGAAAAATCTAGCTTCCATAATTCATGAATTACATCCCTTTTGATGTTAGAAGTTTGCTTAATTTGTTTTTAGTTTTTACAGTAACTTCTTTATTTCTTAGGGGATTTACTTCAGACTTTAGACATTTGTCAATCGTTATTACAGACATAAATAATGACAAGATAAATAACTTTGACACCAATATTTCAAGAATTAGCTCCCATTTTGAACTTAAAAGTGTAGATATTAATTCACTGTATTCAGATTTCATTAATATTTGAATGGAATTATCTGTGTAAAGCAAAAACTACAGAAATTAATGTATTAATGTAGCATGCCTGATACCTCTAAATAACATGCTATGATAGCAATTCAAGTATAAGCCTTCACATACTCTGATGCTGTGAACAGTATTTGATTCATGTGTTATATAAAAAAAACTTATGTAAACTTATACCAAAAATGATGAAATTTAAATCTAGAAATAAGATGTGCCATACCATGGCCTTAGAGTTAAAGTAACATTATTTAAATAATGGGCTTCAAATAGATCTAGGATTATTTTGTTGAATATACTTTACTGAAAACTTTGAGAAAAAATCAATATCAAAAATTTGCATAACTGAACAAATGAATTAATTCCAAGATTATATGCCCACGTAATATTCATTTTTAGCGCAGACGTATTGTTGTTCCTGTTGCTGTCCTTGATCATAACTTTTTTTTCTTTTTTGTGTATTTTTGTGTATTATCTTCATACTTTTTATTGTTTATTTTTTGTTTAAATAAACAAGTGTTTACCCAACTTAGATGTGGCTCTTGTTATGTTAATAAATTACATGAAGTTTATAGTGAATATCTCTAAGTTTTTTTCAGAAATTAACTTCAACGGAAATGATGGTCATAAATTTTTCTGAAAAAATTTAATGATTTACTTTCTTTAAAATATCATTTTAACTGTAAATGAGCATAAAGTTTGAGGAGAATAGCTTTAATTTAATATGTATTTCTGAAAAGTGGATCTTTCATAAAGAAATTTAAGGAATGTAATACATGTGTAATAAGTTTGCACTTTCGAAATACATACCATCAAAGGTCACTATCTAATGCCCATACCTTTGGCATGGTTTTAGACTGAATTATTTACTTGTTTGAAGATAAAGTAGCTAATGTTTTGCTATTAAAACTACTGAAAGTGATCACTAAAAATATCTTTAAGGTCATAACTTGAAAATAGTATCTAAAAATATTTATAAATCATGACACTGTCATAGATATCAACTGAAATATAGCCCTTATTGCTTAAAAAATAATAATTGAATAATGTTTAAGCCTGGTAACTACATGCTTGGGGAGAAAAAACGCATTTGAATTTGCATAATTTTTATTTTCTTAATGATAACTGTAGAACAGTGGCTGAATTTGGAGACTTAACAGATCAGAAAGACATCAACAGATACGGCTTAGACATGGATAGCATTTTGTTTTTAACAGAAGAGCTAATAGAAGATCTACTGCCAAAAACTCAAAAGGAAAAGGCCATTACACCTTTACAAAAAGTAAAAATTGCATTAAGATACTTTGCATCCGGAAAAATTCAGTTACATGATGCTGATATGCATGACATGCCACAACCAGCGCCAATATATATATCTCAAGTTATAGAAGCATTGACTAAACCTCATATTGTTCAGGAATTTATATCATTTCCGAAAACACAAAGGGGCTTACAAGAATTAGAAAGGGAATTTTATGACACGGCCAGTGTTCCCGATGTTCTTGGTGTAATAGGTGGCATTCATGTGCAGCTACAAGCACAAACACAGGATGCGGAGGTTTATGCAAACAGAATGAAGTACCATAGCATGACTATTCAGGTACTATTATTTAGTTCAACCAAGATTGTTTAAATCATGCCTTCTGTGGTCATCACGTTTATCAGATATATATGCAGGGACTAGAATCTTGATAATTCATGTGAGCATTTTAATGCGATAATGATTGAATAAACAATTAATTTGCTCATCTTTTACATATTATAATATATTTTCAAATGAACCAAACAACCTAAAAATCAATATTTATTTAACAATGTTTCTATCTTTCTAAGCAGTCATGATATTAAGCTTCATTGCTGTTTACAAACAAAACACTTAAATGCTCATTTTCAGGTTGTTTTTGATTCATATGAGACAGTAATAGATATTGTAGCAAGATGGCCGGAATGTGTGCATGATCGCAGTATTTTAAGGAAAAGTGGTCTGTTGGCATTCCTAAAAGATGGTGATTGTTTACCACCTGGATGTCCCTATCAAAAATGGCGCTTGACTCCTTACCTGAAGCCCAAGCCAGGATCTCAAACTCAATACAACAGGTAATGACTAAATATAGCATATATAGGAGTATCTGTTGTTTTTTTTGTCACACCGACACAGTATAGGTCATATGGCGACTTTCCAGTTTTACTGGTGGAGGAAGACCTCAGGTGCTCTTCCGTGCATAATTTCAGGCACGAACGGGCACCTGAGTAGAACCACCGACGTTCCGTAAGCTAGTTGGTATACTGATTGTAAATTTATTTGTAATGAGTCAGTTACATAATGCTGTAAAACAGAGAACCACTTATTTGTATCACATTTTACTTCTAAAACAATATTATTCTTGAACAAAATAATAAGCATGTGGAATTTTTCATTTATTAAAGCATGTAAAATACCTTAATTCATAAATATATAGATCTAAGTCTCAGGTAAAATTGTTAAACTGTAAGTAAAACATTCAACAAAATTAGTATTTTGATATGAATTTTACTCTTATCAAGTTGTTTCAGGGCAACAAACGTTGAGAGGGGCATTGACCAACTGAAAAGACGCTGGGGTATCCTGCATTCAGAAATAAAAATGAGTTCAGAGAAAGTATGCAAGTAAGTACTACTTCTTTTATATCTGTTCGTACTACATGTTAATACACATGTTTATTATGTAAACTCAATCTTTTAAAAAATTCAATGCATCAATAATTCATACTTGTTTCTGAGACATAGTTCCAACGCGACCAAAGTAGTTTTAATAATACCACAGGAACTTGAAATTCTATCACTATTAACGATAATATGCGAAATATACCCCCTATATACTATAAAAAAACACATAGTATATAGGGGGTATATTTGGAAATTATAAGTAATATTGGTTATTTGATAGAATTTCAAGTTCCTGTGATAATACTTAGGTAAAAAAAGTTTCATTTTAACATTCACTCATTCACAAGAAACAACATATTCATAAAGTAATCTTGTGTATATATATATATCTTAATGGATTCTAACAGGCTGATTATATGTTGTGGAGTGTTGCACAACATATGCAAATTAAGAAATATTCCAAAGCCATTAGATATTTTGCATGATCGTCACAACAATCAACCTCAAACTGTAGTGCAAAGTGGTCCTTAGGATTGTTTGACGTACAGAGAATTTATTGCAGAGACTTATTTTTGAAAGGTAAGCTCGCTTTTGATACACTGACAATACTTTACACTGACTTTTTTCCAGTTTACAAGTGAAATATATTTCAGTCTTACCAAAAACAAACTTCATATTTATTTCATGTTTTATTAAGTGATCTTACGATCATTACTTTATAATTTCTTAAATAGAAGCAAATATTAAATATGGCAGTTTATTCCTGTCCATAAGTCCATTTGGTTGAGATTTAATTTAAAGGAACCACTTCTGTCGCCTGTCTGACTGTTACAAAACTTGTCTGCACTACTCCTCAGGAACTACTGGTGCAATTTCATCAAAACTTTACAGTGATCACCAAAACCAAGTTTAGTAATGCATATCATAAGCATTTTTGGTTAATTGATTTTTATCAGAGTTATGGCCCTTTACTGGTTTTTATTTGAAATATTTGTTTGAACAATTCCTGATACCACTTATGCAATTTCAGGATTGATTACTCAAGTTATTGTGCATATTACACAAGCTTTCTGGTTGAATAAATTTTCGGCTGAGCCAAGGCCCTTGAATATAAAGCGCTTTGTTCATGATGTTTGTGTCTGCTACTACACAGTAGCTGCAACATGCAATTTGCTATCATAAGGCGACACATGTGATCACTATTTGCTCTTTTTAAAATAGGATAAAACTATAAAAATTTCCCTTTTTCAGCTCGTGCAGTTCTTGATTCGATTTACAACATTTCCCAGTGATTTGAAGATTTTGTTGTGAAATCCTTGCTTTTTGCACCCACTGGCAATGGAGACCTGCAAATAATATAATTCAGTTTGCTTGTTAATCTATACATACTTTACTGAAACTATTTTAGTGCTTCCCGAAAGGGAAAGAGCCTATAGTCGTCACATTTTCAGCCCTTACGTCTGTCCTGCACATTCCTGTTTGAACTTCACACATTGATGGAGACAAGTTAGAAGAAGTGACTTGTCAAAGAACCATACTTCCACCTTATCTAACATTTTAATTAAACTCTATCTATCATACTAAACAATGACTGTCCACAGTATAATCTTAAGCAATCAATAAATTTTCAATGAAACTTCACACAATAACAGCTTAAAGACCAATAAGATGAGTTACAGCATAATTGAAACTTAATTCTGCATGACTTATTTTTTTTATTATCTCCCTAAAGTATAAAGAATAATACTACTTGAAAAAACTTGGACATGCACCTCTTGCTCTGGCATCTGTAGTTTCAGAGCTGTTAAAATATACATGGTAATTCAAAGTCAGATATATAGATATTAGGCAGTGTAAATATGATGAAGTACTTTTACATCATATAAATTCCAGGCTGAAATCGAAATTAAATATTATTATCATACACCTGTTCATATCTTTGTATAGATACTACCATATGGAAAAAATCTTGAATCATACTGAAGTGGGTGTGTGAATGTTTTTTGTTTAGCTCACTTGCGGAGAGCTTGACAAAATGGCGGTTCGGTGTATGTGCGTACGCCCGTCCGTATGTTCGGATTAATTTATGCTTGTGTAGGTTTAATTATGTCATAAGTATGCATAATTTCAAATAACTTAGCACAAATGTTCACAATACTGAGACAGCGTGTCGTGCGCAAGAACCGTGTGGCTAGGTCAAAGGTCACACTTTAAGGTCAAATGCCTCAAACAGCTTGTCTGCTCCATAACTCTATAACTAGCTGGTGGATTTTCAAATAATCTGGTACAAATGTTCAACATCATGAGAAAGCAAGTTGCGCGCAACAACCGTTTGACTTTGTCAAAGCTAAAGGTCATACCTCAAGGTCAGATGTGACATAATACTCGACATGTTTCCCTATGGCATTTAGTTTTTTAGCATTGTAACAATTATGATATAGTTGAATAAAATTGGTCAAAGTATAGAACTTAAGTAATAAAGAGTGTATCTTGATCTTTAACTTGTATTTAGCTCTCATGGTTTTTACTAGAACGGATCTCTGTGTCTCATGAAATTCTTACTTAGTAAAATTAATTCGAGTCAAACAAGGTACACATGTGACAATCCTATTAAATTTTATGAGCATGTAGTCATTGCTTCCATGAGCTAACAAATTCTTCATATATGATTTGAATATTGAAATTTTTCTTATTCATACTCATTTGTATATATAATATATATAAAAAAATACCTGTTTTCAACTATGGCCATCATGGTTGAATCTGTATGCTCTGCCAAACATACCCCAGCCACACTGACACTTTCCTTCCCTACAACAGCCTCTGTTAGAAAGGGAAGGACAGGTGTTCTTGGTTCCGCCTCCTTTTGGAAATTAAATATATCTTTAATATATTCTTACATTCATTTATAATATATATTCAAAGGTCTTGCTGACATTTAAAGCTTATAAAAATCTGACTAATATGTAAATTTTTTCAGTATTCTTTTTGTACATCAATTTCTTGAACTATTCAATGGTAAAAGGTCCATTTATTGAAATGGTATGACAAGTTTAATAAGACATCAATTTAAATGGAATTTATAAATTAGGAATTGTCAAATTACTAAGTTTTAAAAGTCCTGAGCTTAAACCTAACTTTAAGTTTCAATTAAATAAATCTCTATCATCAACATGTTTTTGTTTATCATGAGCATGACTTATTCATGGAATTATTTGTCTACCCTTGGTCATAACTAAATGTATAACATACCTGTCTGACTTAAATTTCTTTTAAAATCAGAATTCAAATTCCGATGTTTTTGTACGAGATTGTTGGTTTTCTTTTCTAACTCATCTTGAGTTCTGCATGTCCCTGAACAGGCAATAAACCTGTTGTGTATCAGATGCCATTGTTCTTTCTTTAATTTAGAGGTGATTCCTATAAGAATCCTTTTTTACTAGTACAAAATTGTTTCTACATGAGTGCTCCAGTACATCCTGTCAATTACACCTTTGCCCCCACCCCCCCCCCCCCCCCCAAAAAAAAAAAAATAAAAAAAGTGGTAAAGACCTTTTTTACGACGCGGTCCCTTGCTATGAAAAATCGATCGGAAGAAGTGTTTTCCCGCGCATGCGCAATTTGCGTAGGGCAAAAAATGCATAGCATAACATAGAAATATAGCAGAAGATCATAGACAATTCCGAGTTAGTTTAAGGTAAAAGGTAAAAAATTATGTAAATAACCTTTTACACAAATAAAAAAAGATTCCTTCATAGATTTGTGGCCAAGATTGCAATACAAAGGCATGGAAAAGGAAATTGTTTAAGAATTTCCCCTTACGGTCACTGGCCTGACACTGAGATTTTTTAAGAAAAGGTGGAACTATATCTATTATTCAAATGGGAGTAAACTAAATTGTTGTTGAAATAGTTCATAAAAAGATAAAAGAAAGATTATAACATATGAAATCGAGGTTTATTATTGCGCCTTTTGACCATTGGAATATTAGTCCCGCATATTTATTATATCTGTTATAAATATCAATTAACGTTTTAAGTACTTACCGCTTTAAGTCATCCCTAAATTACTGTTTTCTGTTTGACATAACATGGAATCACGACTATTAAAGCCTTAAAGTATCATACACTGTTCTCAATTTTACTGCGCTTTTGCCCTACGCAGAATGCGCATGCGCAGAATGCAACATCGGTTTCTATGGAAGAATCGTATTGTAAAAAGGTCTATAAGATGGAACAGTTGGGCTGAAACTAATGTTCTTTACTTAACAATTCATAAATATTTTTGTTTTATGATAACTTTTTAGAAATATTAAGAACTATAATCTTGTTTGAATTATATGAATGTATTATATGTTAAATTGAATTGAAATGAATATTTATATTCTTTGTGTGAATTATTTTCTGTTTGTAAGTTATTTTCTTTCTTTGTATATTATTGCAGTGATTATTTATTTCCTGACTGAAAGACAATAAAAAACCCTGATCTTAAGCTGTTGTTTCATTATTTATTCCACACTTAAATAACTCTGTTAGAGCACATTATTATATGTAACCATCAAAGAGAATATTTTAGAATACCTTAAACACAATTTTAAGTAGGGAATAAATTATAAAAGATAAAAGTCCATATTGGAAATTTTAGATAGTAAGTGATAGTAAATGCATAAGGGGTAGGCAGTAAAAAAATCGCAGTTCATTCCGTTGAAGCCCAAAATATACTGTGAATACAAGACTCAAAGCAATACATTTGGTCCCCCTGGCAAAAATACCTGCGAATATATCTGCATCCTTTTCCCTTACCGTACAATGTCACAACACAACCCTTAAATATCGCAATTTTTAATTTCATGATTTTCTTATTAATTACAATAAGAGAATCTGAACTGTAATAAAGAGCGGACAACTCTTTGTCCCTTTCGTACGAGAAGGGGGAACCCTGTGATGCGTGTATGTCTTCGCACGTTCACTTTCCTTTGGTTTTCAGCAGTTTAAAGGTGCAGTACTGTTAACAGTAGTCATATGTACACAATTGCTTTCGATCGTTGCGCATTCGAAGTTTCAACAAAATCTATTGTACAGTTTTTTTTTATCTGCCTTCATGCCTATGTAATGGTAGCATATGCCCTTAAACTATTATATTTCCAAAAGATGGAAAAGTTATCAATGCGATAGATGCACCGAAGTTACAACACAGTTTAATTATACACTGTTTACTTAATTTCAAATAACTCAAGATAAACACAACTGAACTTCAATTTAGCAGATTGTGTTTAAGATCTATTTGAAAGAGTCCCTGTTTTAGGGTATATATGCACGCATTTACAATTTGTATATATATTTCTTACAAGATGAACGGGTAAAGTAACGGTATAATTGCCTGAACATTGCTAATTATTTAAAAAAAAAAAATGATTAGTTATTCCTCGCTAAAAATATGCATGCCACATTATTGACACAAAAGTTTGCAACCAAAAATGCTTGAAGTTTAAGTATGCAACCAAAATGTGCTTGAACAAGATATTTTTGTGTATTGGACGTTATCTTCGGACTTGCGAACTAAACCATTTGTACAGCATTGACAGAAACATATTGTTATTGTTAAATGCCGTTCAAAACTTTCAAATTCGAATAAATTAGGATAAAAAAACCGACCAGAACAGTCACATGTCAAATTTCAAAATATCTACATGATCAGTTTATATCTTCAATAACTTTCTCAAAACAGAAT